TCAAGAGACTTGCCTATTTTGTAGAGCATGCAAGTTGGAAGGACATTGACTGCAGCTCTATTATCCACCAAGACACGGCTGATTGGAGTCCCATCCATGTGAGCATTGATATAAAGTGGCCTAATGTGTCTGGCCATCTTTTCTTCTGGTTTTTCAAACACAATTTTGCCAGCCATGTCCTCCTCTTCATCATCCTGAGTTGGAACAACGATTACCTCTTCTTTTGTCTATTTTGGGAACTCGCAGACGATTGGTTCCTCCTCCTTCTTGGCTTGGAAAACCAAGGGTAATGTCAGCACCAAACATGACAAATTCACTGAGAATTCCCCAAAATGAATAGTGCCATCTTCTTTTGATTCAGATCCACGATTCCCAGATTGTTCTGGTGCTTTAAAAGTTGCTTTCAAAACTCCGTCTGGACTCACAATGACAGACGCCACCTTTGGAGAAGCTAAAGATTGGTCATCCTCCTTCTGTAGAGTCTGGGTTACAGCCTCCTTTTTCTCTTTTCTCACCCAGACCATATTCCTTTTGGTAGGTTGGCATGGTCTGCGAGATGAACTTCCCTCAGCCTCCACCTGCTTCTGGTGTCTTTTTCGCTCTTCAGCCCTCTTGCGCTGTAGTATGCGCCTCAAGGTTTTGGGATTTTGGGCTGGAAACTTGGGATGACTAATTTTCTCCCACTGTCTGGAAGGTAACCTGAGTGGCGGTTTGACCATCCTTGGAGATCTAGTACCAGTTGAATAACATCTGGCACCTTCTAGACTGAAGTTCCTGGTCACAGTGATCCTTTCTTACCCCCCGAGCCTCTGTTGGTCTGACCTGACGCTCCTGCTATGTCTGGATCTCTGCGCCTCAAGAACCCACCTTAAGTCTTCTGCAGCAAGGTTCCTTTGAGCATAAGGCAGACTGCGATTTCTGGCAACACTCCTGATGTTTGCAACATTCACGCCCACAGACACAGCTGGAAAAGGATCTGCATCCACTCCCATGGTTTCCTTCGCTTTGTCTGGAAATTTTAAGATACCCTTATCAATCTTTTCTTGCAAGATATTACGAAAAATAAGACAATTATCAGTAGAATGCTTCCAAGAATTATGAAATTTGCAATAATCTCTAGCTCCAATTTCAACCGCTGTCGGGATTTTATGTCCCGGCGGCAGCTTAATCAGACCAGTCTTTTTAAGGTGGTCAAATATATCACTAGCTTTTGACACATCAAAAGTATACTGTTTTCCAACCTCACAAACATAATGTCTCATAGACGTCTCAGGCTGGTGAGTTGGTTTGACAAGGTTTAGACAAACAACAGGCTTGTCTGTAACAACCTCAGCCACATCATGATCAAAATTAGGGTCACTGTAATAGGTTCCATGTGATGCAACTTTCTTTTGAACATCTTCTTTCAGCAGATTTTCATACCGAGCAACTTTATAAGACAATTCATAGAAGTCTTGGAATTCCATCCCCTCAAATTTCTTTTGGAGCTCAATGTCCAGACCATTCTGAGCCAGCTTGACAAACTCTTGTTCTGGCAGTGCAACTCTACATTTCAGTCTGGCTCTCCGGAATCTCGCAAGGAATGCCTCAGACGACTCTCCAGGCTTTTGGGCTAACCTCAACAAGTCTGCCATAGACACTTCTGGTTCACAACAATAAAATTGAGTATGAAACAAGTCCTCCATTTGCTTCCAAGAGTAGACTGAATTTTGAGGCAGACTGAGGTACCATGTAAGGGTTGTCCCAGTCAAAGAGCTAGGGAACAGTCTGAGTTTCAAGTTATCATCTCCAGACGCCTCTCCACATTGTATTGTGAAGCATCCAATATGTTCAATAGTGGACTGACCAACCTCACCAGAAAATAAAGTGAACTCAGGCACTTTAAAACCCCTTGGAAAAGGATTTTCATGATCAATGATGTCTGGATAAGGCTTCCTGTAGGCTGGATGCACTAATGGTCTCAAGGTTGGTCCATAGGTTTCTTGTACCAGATCTATTAGCTGATCTCTATTGAATAATTGAGCTAGGTGATTCTGCAGACCGCGCTGTACCGGCTGGGCTGGAGGAACTTGTGGCTGGAAAAAATCCCTTGGGTAGGGTGGATGATAAGGACCCACATTTCCCCTCCTACCTGGCGGAACATACCTATGCTGAGGTTGATGGCCATGGTCTGCAACAGGAGCAACAGCCTCCATTGGTTCATGCTGTCTTTGTCCTTCACCCATGAAGAAATTCTGTTGTTGAATGTTAGGATGAGGTTGATTCCCTTGCCCCCCGAGTGCTGGGATTGGGGCTTCCTGAATATGTCTGGGCATTTCAACGACTAGAGGAGGAATCTCAGGTCTGGGCTATCGCACTTGCTCAACCACTTATTCTGGAACAGCCTGCAGTGTTCTGCGACTTTCTTCCCCAATTTCTCGCATCACCCTAGTGCCTTCCTCAAAGACCCGTCTCATGTCTTCCATACATTGTTTGATTATCTCTTCCTGACGTCTGGAGGATTCTGCTTGACTCTCAACCAGCCTCTGCATAGTCTGGTTTTTTTCTTTGAATGCTAAATCCAAATGTTCCATCATACCTCTAAACATATTACTTGATTCAGCAAAGTCACCTCCACGGTCTGTTTCTTTCTCTTTAAACACTGGATTCCAATAGGACCGTTCTGCCAGAGGTGACACTGGGAGAAAAGTGATGGGATCATTTTCACCCTCAGAGTGGAGTGGACTGTCGTCTGCATGGTCAGCCTGGGCTGGCTGAACCTCTTTGTCTCTGCTCTTTCTCGGTGGCATGACTCCAGACGCTTTTGGATGTATAAACAGAGGGTCTGTAAACTTTAACTGATACACTTTGCTGGTCCCACTAGGCGTGCCAACAAAGGATTGTTTCCCCAAAAATCCTCAGCCGGCCTTTACCACATGAGTTTGGTTATTAGGCGTGCCACTTGCTTTGTCTAAAAACAAGAAAATAGGATTTTCCAGACGACCCTTCTCATTTCCAACGGTTGACCTCCAATAGGATGGCTGGCAAGAACGTCTGTGAAATGAATTGCGCCCCAGACGATGTTGCAAAACAGAGGGTAGAGTTCTGCAAAATGGGTTACTAATTGCCTTGGAAACCTCCAAGGAATTCACAACCAAACAAGTGTAATAAAAGCTACAAATCCTAAAATAAATGCAATATCCTAAAGCAATTAAATTAACATGAAGTAAAGAACAGAAAATAACATGCCATGAAGATTAAATTCGCAGACAACAAAAAAAGTAAAATAACAGACAATGATTTCAACTACACAGCCCATAATAATTAACTAAAACTAAAGAAGAAACTATGAAATGATTAAAGTCTGAAAACTTATAAAGTCAAATCTGGAAATTGAAATTAAATAAACTGAATGTCTGGATATTGTGCAGAAACAAAAGAACAAAGGTAGAAAACATTCAATCTATTTACATGAATGAATAACATAATTAAATCCATAAAAAGAAGAAGAACTAATCGAATCAAAAGGGCAGACCTGTTTTGAAGGCTAAGTTGCTTCCAAATGCTTAAAAATAAATCTAAACTGGAATTTGCGGAAGGAAATATGAATAAAGATGAGCAAACCTAGGCTAAGGCTATGAACTAATCTGGAAAATCTGGGAAATCTGGAAACTATTGCTGAAATCTGGAAAATG